AGAGAGAGAGAGAGAGAGAGAGAGAGAGAGAGAGAGAGAAGAGAGAGAGTTTTATGGGCTGTGTTGGTTGACAGTATGTATTATCTCAATAATTGTACTATAGTCATGACTATTAGAAATATTCTTCTAGTCATATGACTACTATTACTGTGACGATAATGCTTCATGTTGCACATCAGAATGAAATAATTGTAACCTAAAGTTCTTAATAAAAGGATTCTAGTGGGAGTATTTTGTGAATAAAATTGATCAAAGGTAGTTGACACTGTTTGAGATTTTGTTTTTGGCTGTCACTACATTGAGTCTATAATAATAAGCTAGTAATATTTATTGCTTAATGAGATAGTTGAAATGTACTCCAGGTTGTTGAAATCACAATATGGAAATAATTGGCAGATGGATGAGAAATGTGTTGTGTTCTCCAACCCATAATATTTTCCAAGTATTGGAGTTCTCTCAGTCTCTGTGATCTGAACTGTCACTTCCTCTTAATTCAGTAAACAGCAGTTCCTGTGGGAGTGTCAGGTCTATCTGTTGCAGATTCAACTTCAAAGGCTGATACAAACTACTTAGGAAACAATAAGATTCCTAAAAGCAAAACGTTTCTCTTTATTGGGAGTTCTTCAGCTCTTTTCTCCCAAGTCTTTGACCTTGTTTTAGCATATGTCTGGTGTCTGTGGTGGAATGAAAGCACTCCACATTCATGTGGCACATCACAGTCCCTCAGGCTCATCCACCTAAGTGAATTTGATTCTGCTGTGATGTAGGTATGTCACTGTCTGTAGCCTTGTCACCCAGGGAGTTCACTTTTGTATGTAGAAAATGAATATTGCTAGGAAAATTTTTAATATTTTCGGAATGATAGGAAAAAATGTCTTAGAAAAGTCGAGGGAGTTTTTGGAGAAATTGAAGCGTGCATCTGAATTTATCTAATTTTAATATGAATTCCAAACAGAGACATAGACTCATCAAGTCTTTCAGTTTTTCAGATTTTACTAAATACTCAGGAAGTTTGACTTTCAGTTTCTTGTCCAGGTATGGGCCAAGTTTCTTCTCTAGCCAATTTGTCATCAAATGTTAAACATTTTTTCCTCATGTGTAATTATTTCAGGATTTCTGGACTTCAGATTTTTGAAAATATGGTTATAGCCACCTTAATCTATTTACTCCTATTATTTTGGAAAACTTCCAACTTTCATTTTCATTCTTGGACATTTGGAGAATTAAGCTGTTCTGAGAAAATATTCAGACTTGTAATAAATAAAAATACACTTATGCAGACAATAATACAAAATAAAATCTATACTTCAGATATAGATTAGAAAATACTCCTGAAAGTATTACATTGACTTGTAAATTTATGGTTTGGGACTTTACATCGATCTCCTAGGAGGGCTGGTTTTATTTATGTTTTAATAAGAAAAATTGCAATAAAAATTTGGGGCTTCATTTTAGGTGAGGTTTTTGTATTTGGGTTTGTTTTTATACAGTAGAGTTTAATCCATGTGTTGCTTTTCTTCAAGTATAGTTTAAAGGAGTACAATTGGAGCGTGTTTTTGGAAAAGGCATGTTAATGTAGCAGAAGAGACTTCAGTGCACACTTTCGAAGACAGTTTCTGAGCGTTAAGTGGTAAAAGGCAATAATAATTCAAATGCTGGTAACAAGCCAATCTGCTAAAAAGAATGCATGTTCTGTGTACCCAGTCATTTCACATGAACTAACCTCGTTTAAAAGAACATTTTCCATTCACTGTGCACATATGTGTAATCATTTTTGACTAAAATCAATTGCCATTATCATGCCAACTAAATCTGCAGTAGAATATATTAGTCACCAGGGATGGTATAAAGTACTGTTTAAAGAAAATAATGATTGAATTCTAGAAATGAATGTATGCAATTTGTAAAAATTAGCTGTAATTCCAAGAAACACTCCAGAGTAAAGTTAATGTTAATTTTATATGTAGTGTCTCTAAATTGCTATGGTAAAGCTTACAATATGGTAGCAATAAGTGGTATTTTCTGCTAAATGTGCTAAAGCATCTTGAAAACTTAGAGATGAACCTAATTGTTTGTTCTTACTTTCTTGAACATGGTAGGACCTGATCGGTGCAAAACAAACCCATGTCTCAATGGAGGCACCTGCTATCCCACTGAGACATCCTATGTGTGCACATGTGTGCCTGGATACAGTGGAGACCAGTGTGAACTGGGTAAGATGGTCTTGGGATGAGGGGCTGTGCTTCTTTTCCAGAAGATATAATGGGGGAGAATCTGTATTATGCAATTAATTAAAGATTTCAGGGAAACCCATGTGTACATGAACTATGCCTTAAACGATGTTTAAATCTGGGCATAATTAACTCAGTTCTAGGAAAGAGGATAGGAATTTACTGAATTCCATTGATACAACTGATACTCAGTGAGGCTTAATGAAGTCAACTGTATCTTTTGTGGGTTTGTGTGTATCTGAGATAATTAAAGCTTGAAATGCTGCAAAGAAGAGTATTAGTTTCAGGACTCATCAGATTCACCTAATAGCAGTGGAGACAAATTCTTTACTCTGGATATCTAAAAAAATATTTTATTTATTATTTTTATTTTATGTGTGTGAGTGTATTGTCTGCATTAATGTGAGTGCACCTATGTCGTGCAATGCAGCAGAGGTCAGAAGAGGGCTTCGGATTCCCCTGAACTGGAGTTAAGAACAGTTTGTAGCTGCCATGTGGGTGCTGGGAATAGAACCTGGGTCCTCTGCAAGAGCAGTCAGTGCTCTTAACCACTGAGCCATCTCTTTAGCCCCTAATCTGGATATTTTTAAAATCATGTTAGGGTTTCTAGATTCAACAAATAAAAATACAGTTCTTCAGTGAAAATAGGAATTTCAGATTTTAAAAAAGGGACTATTTTTGTACATGAAAGTTTGACCAAAATATAACATATGACATATTTAGCCTTAACATATATGACAGAATGCTTGAAATCTGGTGGGGAGACTTCAGGGGATGCATATAGGGGAGGGGGGTCTAAATATTTTATGAAATGCACAAAAATACAATAAAAATACACATTGAGAAAAAATTATAAATCAAAATCATTTTAGTTTTATAAAATTTGAAAATCATATTTAACTGGCCGTCCTGTATCTTTTCTAGCAACATCACACAAAATATCTTTCAATTTTATTTCAGATTTTGATGAATGTCACTCCAACCCTTGTCGGAATGGTGCCACGTGTGTGGATGGTTTTAATACATTTAGGTGCCTCTGTCTTCCAAGCTATGTTGGTGCACTTTGTGAGCAAGGTAAGGACTAGTGAACATTGTCATGATGAACATTAATGATACTTTCAAGTTTTGGCCTTGCTGTATATTCTTTTTTTAAATACTGGAAACATGAACAGCAGACTCCAGTTCTATCCAAAGGAATACTGACAATGGATTGCCGTTGATAAGGAACAGCTGATCCTCCTGGAACAGGGACCTCGGGCTGACTAGATTTACCAGAAGGGCAGACAGGGGGAATGGATGGGGGTGCTGACAGCACAGTGGACAGTGGCAGGGATAGCAGAGTATGGAGGCTCTAGTGGGAGAGGAAGGCTGTCTACCTGATGAGTTTGTATTCATGCTCAGATGCTGAGGAGCTCAGAAGGTGGGTGACTGTGACCAGTGATAGTCATGTATATAGAGATTAGAAATGCATGTGAAAATGTCTCAATGTCAAGAGCCCTGGAATGAATTTTTCTGTATGAAACTGTGTGTTTTGACAACGAAGTGGAGATCTTTTTTAAACATTGGAACCTCATTTAATTTTATGTCTTATAGAGTTTATAATGAGTAAAAGATTATATAAGCGTAATAATTCATCTGTAAACCTAGAAATGTACAGCCAGTTTTGAAAGAGATGTACCCTAGCTCAGAAAAATTAAAAAAATTATTTATTATTTTTATTTTATGTGCATGAGTGTTATGCTTGAATGTAAGTAAATGCATCCATGTCGTGCAATGCCTGCAGAGGACAGAAGAATCTGTCAGATCCCCTGGAAATGGAGCTACGGACAGTTGTTAGCTGCCATGTGGGTGCTGGGATTCCAACCCAGGTCCTCTGCAAGAACAGTCAGTGTTCTTAATTGCTGAGCCATCTCTCCAGCCCATATTCTTTATTTTGAAGAAATTCACCATTACCAACATTAGGATTACTTATGTGTAAATAGTCCCATACATCTAAACTGTAGTAGTTTTGCTAGGATTATAGACAGGCACACTGAACTGAATTTAAGGACAAGTAGTCTACCTGGAGAAAAGCTATGCATTTACCTTCATGGGTCCTATGTATCAGGGAGAAATGAATTCAGTGTTATCTGCCTTTATTTTCCCCCAACAAGCACTTGAGACTCAGAGGTTTGCTTTTCCCAGTCATCCATATCTTGAGAATGCATTGATATAGATGTTAGAATACATTAGCTTGGCTTGCCACGTGCTTTGTAAAGGCTATACAACCACTCACCAGGAAATTTTCCTACTAAAGAAGCATCTACTTTTTCTGAATGAAATAAAGGCCTCAAATCTCTTGATCCTTATAATTTACATTTTATGGCCAACCTAAGAATGTATTTCAGGTGCTTAATGGTAACATTGCTTATTCCATCAATCAGAAACAGACTGCATGCTCATCACCCTGGGCTTCGGAATGCTGCTTTCCTCTATTTAAAGCCATGCAGTGGTTTGGCTTTGATAAAAGTCCTCAGTGCCAAACTTAAATTCCACCAAACATAATGAAAATGTATTAGACACTCAGACACGTTGGTCTGGCCTCTCATTCTGCTTTGTGGTGTTAATCCAGATGTCACCACAATTAAAGCAAAAGCAAAGCTAAAAGTAGCATGTACTAAATTTATTCTTATAAGGGGATGCACAATGGCTAGGTTTTAAGATTTCTTTCTTTTTCTTTAACTGCATAGAGCGAGGCAGTTTTAGAATTTTAAATAAAAATTTGACCAACCAACATCCTTTTCTTAAACTAAAAATAAGAGATATTCTTTTTTGAACACATCAGATGAGGCAGTTGAAACACTCTAATGTATTGGCATGCTGGCTAAGCATCAGTTACAAGTACAGGGAGCAGATTAAAAACAATTGTTTGAATATTTATTGAGCACCTACTATTTTCCTGACAGTGTTGCACTAAAGATAAAGCTCTGAACTAAACCAAGTCCCTGATCTTGGTGAGTCAGCAGAAAGATAGAAATACCGTTTCTTTGATATTTTCTAGTCCACCAGATGCATTGTTTCATTTGACTGACAGCACTTCTATGTGTTGTGTGTTAGGAATCTAAGCTTAGAGAAGAAAGTGATGTGTTTAAGTAATGCATACATAAAATGAACCTAAGCAGCTTTACTCCAAAGTCCAAGGTTTTCTTCTCACTTCTGAAGTAATTCTCAAGATAAACATCTTATTTAATCAGCATCTAGTGGATTGAGTGATAACAGATTCTTGGAAGACTTTGGGTCCAGTTACCTCTTCCTTCTGTTTTAAAAAGAGACAAATTGCTTCTTTCACCGATGGTGCACCAAACTTTCAGGTGCGTTCTGTTTTATCTTCCGGCAAGTCTAAATGTCCCCCACTTTATTTGCTGAGGAATATCTACCCCGTCTGTTTACCCAGTGCAGCTGTGCTCCTGTGATTTACTGCCAGGATACTGGAAGATTTTTCTCTCTTCTTTTCAGGCTGCTTAAGAACAAATGCTTTCTTCATTAACAGCAGCATTGTTGTCTAAACAGTTTTCTGCCCAAAGCTCTTGATGACTGTGTCATTGTTTTTTCAGCTGACCTTTCCTCTGCTTAGTCTCAGTAACTGAGTTTTAGTAACTGCTTAGTCTCAGTAACCTTGGACAGGGAACATATTTCTGTGGAATAATAACATCAAAACTAGAAATGGATCTTCAAAGGGTAAAGAAAGAGGCATAAATTGTGAAGTCAATGATGAGGCTTGCTAGGATGAGGGGTGAGGGGCTGGTAATTTCTTAAGGCTTGGCAGCTCTTATCTGGGGTTGCTGCATGCATTATCTGCACAGCATACAAAATAGATCTTTAGGGTGGTGATTTAAGAGGGTCAATTCGCTTCTGTATCATGTGCAGGCATTTCATATACACTCCCAGTCTGGGTCTTTGCACTGTAACTTATGCACTATGGAGACCTGAAGGCCTAAGATGCCTTTCTATAATGTTGAGTGATTTTTAAGAAAATATTATCCAAGGGGGCCTGTAACAGAGTTCAAAGGTAGAGTAGTTACCTATCATGCGCAAGACTTTGGGTTTAATCCCCAGTATTATGGGGGAAATGGTTTTAAAATACTCCAAATACTGCTTTTTAAAAAATAAAATGAGATTCACATTATTTTGGGTAAAATTGGAAAAACAAAGAGACCAGTTCTTAAATGCCCTCTCAGAGTAACATTCTGGAAGATGCTAAATTCATGAATAATAAAAATTAAGTAGGTCAAATATGAGATCTGACTTTCGAAAAATAAAGCAAGTCTTTATTCTACTAAGTTGTCTTTACAGATGATAGATTTGTAGCTATGAGAAAACTGTGGCTTAGCTAGGAATTGTGGGACAGGCCTGTGATCCTAGTCACTTGGGAGGTTGACACGAAGTTCACCTAGGCAATTTGAGGAAATACTATTTCAGAATGAAAACACAGAGAAACGACCAAGGCTATCATTCAGTGGTAGAACACTTGCCTAGCTTGCATGTCGCCTTTACATTCAGTTCTTAGTTCCTCAATTTTTTAAAGCTATGCTTTATTTTTATTTAGCTAGTACAGATGAAAACTTCCAGTTTGGTCCTTAATTTTTGGGCCCATGTTCTTATAGAATATATGTACCTATTGACTGATAAAGGCATGCATCTTTGTTTTTTGGTACTATAAAAGAATCCTTGATGTCAGGTGCTTAATAAAGGAGCAAGGTTTATTTAATTTCCAGTTTGGAAGACTGAAAGCTCAGAACAGGGTCACTCCATCTGTTTGGTCTCTGGGAAGGGCCTTCTTGCCCTTTCACAGCATGGTGGAGAAAGGGAACCAATGTCACACAGAAGGAAGAAGGCACAAAGCAAAGCGAAGCTTGCTCTTTCTATAACAATCTATACTTTAAGACCCAAGCTGCTCCATAAGAAAGCATTAACATCATGAAGGTGGGGCCCCTGGCCTAATTACTCTCCACCCAGGCTCACCTCTTAAATGTTCCGCCACTTCGTGATTCCCCAACACCAGACATTAACCCTCCAGCACATGGACCTCTGGGGGACAAGCTAAGTTGCAACTGTGAATGACATGGTCAAAATTATGTTTTGGTTTTGTAGAAGAGAAAAATACTTAATGACAATCTATTTTAATGAGAAAAGACAGAAAAGAAAACTAAAATCATTCAGGTTATAGAAGGTAAAGTATGCACTGAATTTTTTTCTGATGAATTCTTTAAAAAGTTTGGGTCTTACAAAATTTTGAACTGTCTTAACATAATTGACAAGTTTCAAGGCTAAGGAAAGCTATGCTGTTCCAATATCACAGTATTGGCTTTGGCAAGAAGAGTGTTCTAAATGCTTTCACTCACTTCCCGTGTTGAGTAACCTCATATTTCAAAATCCATTTCTTCCCTGTCCTTCCACCTCATTGCCGAATTTTTCCAAATGAACCTCCTTAAAAGAAAACTAATATTCAAATGACCCAGACTGACTTCATTTTGGGTTCTATGTACTTCCTTTACATTAAACCATGTAGCGGTGTGTGTCATGCATCTGTTCTTATGAGAATTTGGTGATGTGCAAGCAACACTATCGTCAGACACCCTTCAAGTACACATTATCCAAAACAATTAGTCAGCCTCTGCCTGCAACTAAACAACAGGCCCAACAGACTAAACTGAACCCTAAGATTGTTTTCAAAGATGAACTGCATCTGTTGCATGGTTGTGACCAAAAGAACTGAAGCCTGGGAAAAAATTATATCTCACAGAAAAAAAATCTTCTCACAACTAGACAAAAGGGAATAATTAAGGGGAGTTTGAGTTCCAAATGAGGCATCAAGGATAACATATGAAGCATTTAAACCTAGTGAGTAATGAACAATTACAGTTACAATTGTAATTAACAATAGGTAACGCAAAGAGAACAGGGATTTTTATTAGGAGATTGGAAAGGTTCTTGGTGTCCAAAATTCTATGAATGACATAGTTTTGTCACTTTTTATATGTAACTATTTTGATATATTGCAATATGTTTAATTTATATGCAACTATATTCAATATATTACTAAGATCAAAATTATTTCCATACATAATTAATATGTGGAGTATAACCTCATCTGTGGTGGGTCAGTCTGATGGAAGATTGTCACAGAATAGGGTAAGTTTAACTCTTACTATTGTAAAATTTAGATATATTTGAAGAATATTTTTATCCCACTGGGATAGCAATTCTGTCATGCTCATAACACAAACATATTTATGATTATAGAATGGGGAGCATTGTTTAATTAAAGAACTTGGTTCTTTTATTTTTAATAAACTGAAAGTCTTTAATGCATTGGCATTAGAACTTCCATTTTTCCTCTTTTGGGGAAGAAAGCATACATTCTAACTCCATCCACAAAGCTGCCTACTCATGATTTTTTTGTGTAAATCTTATACAAGACCCTGTGGCTCTCTGATAGCTTTCTGGGGAGCAGGAAAGGACTACTTCCAGAACATTTGAAGTCACTGTGCAAATACAGTGTTCAGGACTCTGTTACCTGGAATCCTTATCTTAATACTTGTAAGTGATTTTTTAAGAAAAATTGTGTTAGTAAGAAATTAGTTTCAGTTGCTTCATAAGTAAGTCAACAGTAAGTAGTCCAAGAGATTTTGGCCAGTTGCTCTATTGGTTTTTCTCTTATAGAAATTGTCTTTAGTCAAGGAACTTGGAATTAGATAGTGCCTTTTTGGTCCAAAGGTGTACGACCACCCACTTCACTGGGATCAGTTGGAATCACTTTACAATGATTTCTTTGTCATTGTGACCAAAACTTATGAATCACTTACTTCAGGGACTTGGCATTGATACTGGTTTGGGCATCTTATCACCACAAGGATTAGGGAGCCACCTTTGGATGACATGGGTGAGTTTAATAAACCTTGGCCTTGTTTCTTCCCAGATACTGAGACATGTGACTATGGCTGGCACAAATTCCAAGGGCAATGCTACAAATATTTTGCTCACCGCCGAACGTGGGATGCAGCTGAAAGGGAGTGCCGTCTGCAGGGTGCCCATCTCACAAGCATCCTGTCTCATGAGGAACAGATGTTTGTGAATCGTATGTACCATATAGGCATGACTTTCCTGGAATGCCGCTCATTCTCACCATTAATTTTGTTTTCTTTGTATCTAAATAAAAAGAAGTAGCCTTCTCTATCTTCATTTAATTTATGAAGTCTCTCCTCTGTGAATTACATAAAATCACCTATATGACTGACTCATCCATTTTGGAGTAACTTAAAACACAGTATAGGAAGTCTTTGCTTAGTGTGCCAGCAGAGCCAGGTGGAACAGTAAACTGTATGTTGA